CAAGACATCCGCTATCCCGGTCTCTAACATCATGGGAAATACCTGCTTTTAGACAATAAATGAGAATATAGGATGAAAAGTACATGGTGTGCTGGCAGAAAGCACAGGGATGCAGAGCCAGGCACACTTCAGTTCAATCCTAGTGGATGGCTGTGAAGTGGACACAGCACTACCTACTAGACTGTGTTGTGAGGGCTGGAAATACCATGGACTAAGCACCCAGCATGGCACCTTCCCTCATAGACTCTGCTCCTATTTTTTCTTATGACACTGAGAGATCTGAATGGTGGATGGGGTCCTTGTTAGGGTTGAGTGAGAGAATAGATGTGAGGGCACTTTTAAAAGTTGAAATAGGTTCTTATACAAAGTGTCATGTGAAAAGATACAGAACGTTTGCTAGGTGGGCTTAAAATTGTTAGGTAATTTCCTGTCAGTTAAAAAAGTGTGCCAGTTTGGGGACTGAATTACAGCTGTTCTGACCTATCAACCTAGTTACACCTCGAGTGCTCTGCGGTTAGACTGGCGCCCACTCTGTTGTCAAGAGAAAACGTTTTTTCGGAGGTGGAGCCACTGCCAGTCTAAGCACTTAGGGCCCGTGTGATGGCTCATCCTCGACGGGAGCATCTGAAGAAATAGGCTATGAAGAGGGGAGGCCATCCACTAACCAAAGGCTCCTTGGCCCTGCATCCAGGGGAGGAGTCACGCTGCAAGCTGCACAGAAACTGTTTCCACCTTGCAATGGATACATGAGTCATAAAACATTATTTCAGTTGGACATAAAAATAAAAGCAGACATTCCACGCTTCAGCTCTGTGTGTGCCACTCAAGTCCCGAGAGGAGAATGTATACTCATGCATTAAATAAAACTACAGCGTGTGAAGGGACAAATAACTACAGATAAGTTCAGAGCTAACATTTCTGGAGCACCTACTGTTCCAGAGGCTGTGCACTATCTCATTTAATTCTCAGAACATCTCTATGAGGTAGGAGTTGTTAGCTTCATTTTCCTTTGAGGAAAATGAGACTCGCAGAATCTAAATGACTTGGTGACACAGCTAGTAATTGCCAGAGCTGGAATGTGAACCCAAATCTGATTGATCCCAAGTGTAAGCTCCTAGTAACTCATGGTATTGTCCATCTAGATGTGTAGTGACCATTGCTGACACCTTATTAGCATTGCTTATGAGAAGTATGTGGCCACAGAAATGGCTCTAGGTATAAGCATCCCAGAAGCAGTACATAATCTTTTGGGAAACTTATTTTTGAAGGAATATATACAACCTAGAGTGCAGTGAGAGAATGGTCATAATGGAAGCAGACCTCATGTTTGAGCCCAAAAAGCTAGAAATGGTAAGCCTGATAAACTGGGGGCTTCTAAAAGGGTCTTAATATCTGAAATGCTGGCTGTCAGGACATAGTAGTTATATATATCTAGATATAGACACAAGGGTGTACCTGAAACCAGTGAACTAAAGCAAAACAGGAAATAGCTTTCTAAAAGACCAAGAGATGTGCAGATGGAATGGGCTGCCCTGAGGTAAAAAGATTCCCACCACTGGCAGGTTCAACAAAAGTTAGAGGACAGCTCATCATGGATAATGAAATTGAGATTTGAATTGTCTCACATACATGAACTAAATTCCATAAACTTGATAACTGAACTTTGGGCAAAGAGGTAGTTAGACCTGGGTGCAGCAGAGCTGGGGAGTGGGTTAAAGAGGGACAGCCAAAGACAAGGTAAGGGGTAGGAGTTTCCATTCAAGGAGGTGCCATTAAAAAGTTATTGAACAAGGTAATTTCCTCTAGAGTGGCTGAAGCTGTCAAAAGTAATGATCAAGGCAGGCTGGCAGCCATGATCCTCACCAATCTGACCTAGAGTAATAAAAGTGACCAGTTTTACAGAGAAAAGCATGAAGCAGACCCACAGAATATGTCAGAAATAAACAAAGTCCTATATTACCGTATTCTCAATTCCACTACTTCCAATGCCCAGCAGCATCCCTGTCTTGAATATGGTAATAGTCAAATATCCTAATAACCCTCTTCACTTAAAATAGCTTGAGTGAGTTTCTCTCATTTGCAATTAAGAGACTTAGTACATAAGTAAAACAAGGAAAAACAAGTAAAAAAAATTGGGGGGAAAAAGTGTATTTGTACTTAAAACTTTTAGGCAGATGAGTAGCCCACTGTTCCAGAAACAAATTAAAGGCTTACCTCTTCCCAAATCTGGGTTTCAGTGCTCTGCCGTGAGCTCCTATAGCAGACAAGTAGCCCGTTTGTGTAGATTCACTAAATTATAAATCCCCCATGAACAGAGGCTGTGCTTTTCTTGCTCAATGATATAACCCAGCACCTGGCAGTCTTCTATAAATTAGCATATGCTTCTCATTACTACATTCAAAGAGAGACCTTCTGTACCCAGAAATAGCAGCACGTGATGGAAACAATTGGTCTGTTACACAGAAGACCTGGGTTCTACTTCAAGCTCCACAGCTACACGTCTCAATTTGCTTACCAGCTTTACACTTCAGTACCATTTACTGAGGACCTGTTACCTCACACTTCCCAACTCAAACGTTAACCACAAGCACAGTCCGATCTTTCTTTTGTAAGCAAGATATATAGGATTTCCTCTCACTTCTAATCCTGTAAAAAGGATGTTTTCTTTATAAACCGGTGGCAAACAGAGATGTGTGGCTCAGATCCCCTTGACAGACTCACTGTTGGCTGCAAGGAGTGAGTCCAGCTGACAGCCTTGTGGTTAGCTGTCAGGGTTCACCTCAGCTTTGCAGCCAAGACATGCTAAGCTCGAGGTGGCCAAAGACCTGAGAAGCCAATGGTACCGGGGTCTAGCCATTTCCATCCTACATACTACTCCTCTGATAGGCAGTCTTTGCTGCTCTGGAGCTCCCCACTGGGCTAACAACGTGATTTTCAACTGCTATGCCGTGGCACACTGGTGAGCCGTAAGAATTTCTAAAACATGCAATACCTATTTAGTCAGGGGCACTGACCTCTTTTCCCTTAGACTGTCAAACAAAAAAACAATAGCAGTCAACACGATAGCCATCCAGTGTGAATGAATCAAAATTATACCTTTTTTTGGTCAGATTGGCAAAAAATATATGTTTTGGTGTGCCGCAGAATTATAGCAGTTCGTTTATGTGTGCCGTGAGGTGAAAATGGGTGAAAATCGCTGGGTGAAAATGGGCTAAGGGCAACTCTGTCAGCTATGCTTAAAAGAATAACAGCTTCCCCTGGCTGATGATGCACCCTTCCTTTACTTCTCACTGGTGTTTCTCTCCGCTAAACCATGCTGCACTTCTAAGTCCATTGCAGCACCTACTTCCTAGAGAATCCTGTGATAAAATCAAAGACTAGTCTGCTTCCAATCTAGTCTTAATTTGCTCTCTTTCTCTCTCTCTCACTCACTCACTTCACCTCTGCCTGGAGGTTTTCTGTCAGACTGTGACATTTTAGTTTAGTATCCCCAAAAGCATTTTAAGTTCAGTACAAGGTACAATTATTTTCTTCACATAAAACACTGCAACTTTACCAGAAAATTATTTAAATATATTTCATTGTGTTTAATAAATTTATTTTTATTTTATTATAAAAATCAAAACCAAAACATTAAGAGCTGTGCCATTAAAAAATACACCAAACCTTAATAGCGCCATCTGGTGGTGCTTAACAGGAACTGTTCACTGTTTAATCATTTAGGAAAAGAACTTTTGAAGCCATAACACCTTTACCTTATGCCCTGGTCCACATTGCTCAGTGGTTAGAGCGTCGGCCCACGCGCCAAAGGGTCACAGTTCAATTCCAGGTCAGGTTCGATCCCTCGCCCTGATCAGGGCATGTGCAAGAGGCAGCCAATCGATGTGTCTCTCTCACATCCATGTTTCTTTCTCTCTCCTTTCTAACAAATACAAAATACGGCCAAATATGCCCTGGCCAGTGTGGCTCAGTTGTCTGGAGCATCATCCTGTACACCGTAAGGTTTCAGGTTTGATTCCTGGTCAGGGCACATACCTAGGTTGCAGGTTCAATACCCAGTCGAGGCACATACAGGGGGGTAATCAATCGATGTTTCTCTCACATCAATATTTCTCTCTCATGCTCCCTCCCCCCAAAATCAATAACCATGTCCTCAGGTGAGGATAAAACACAAAAATTAAAATAAAATAAAATATGGCCAAATAACAAAAAATGTAATTAAAGTTAAATCAAGTCTTTAAAGTTGGGGAGTATAAAGGTCTTGTTTTCCATTTTCAGAGCTTTGGAGCATAGCAACCTCTTCCCACATCTCTCTTCACTACAGTACAAACTATTAACTTCTCTTGCTTGATTTTTGTGGCATTCATCAGTATCTGACACTTTATAAACATTTTAATCTTCTGATTACCTGGCTTCCCTACAAGACTCTGATTATCTTCTCTCCCCGCAATGAGGAGAGTGTTTGTCTTACTCACCCCTATAATTCTCAGTGTTCTTGGCATATAATAGGTACTCAAAACTTTTTGAATAAATCAACTTTTTTTTTTAATGAGCGGCTACTTTTAAATCAGCCTTGGAATTAGAAGGGAAAAAAAATTACCTGAAAGAAAACTTTCCTGTAAACGTAAAGATTTTAGAATAAGAATTGAGCCACTAGAGAAGTAAAGTTCATGGCCAGTCAGGGAGAAATGAAAGCCATGCAGCAGAAACGAAGGGGAGACCACACTGACTTACAGATGTTTTCAGATGTGCTCAAAATTGTGTTAACTACTGAAAACGGAAAGCTGAAGGGAACTTTCACGTGACACGACGCATTTTCAACAACTCTGATACAGAGATACAGCCGTGCTTGAATACATACACGACGTGAAGTTGCTACCTCACAGGCTACCCTGCCAACTACATTTTGAGACATTAGGCCACCTACAGTAGTGAAAGTCACAAGATGCGACTGAATAATTATAGAGCAAAAGGTTAATATCAATTAAAAAACAAATATAAAAGGTATTAATTAGAAAACTTCTTTATTTCTGCTCCTTTCATACACCTTAGTGTTCAGGAAACAGTCTCACATGCATATCTTAAGTAATGTGCTATCACACACTCTGCTTAAGGGCAAAGCACCACAGTTTAGTAAAGCTGATCAGCTGTCCAGAGGTCTCAGCTTATGGGATCCTGCTTTCTGATTTTACACTCATTTCTGAAAGTCAGAAATGTCATCTCCAAAAAAATGCTAAGAGGGTTGTAAAAATAATCACTCTATTCAATATTATAGGTATAGAAATGGAGTATATTTTAAGAAATTAAAAACAGAGAAGAAAATGCCACTTAACATCATTGGTATGTCAGTGAAGGTCAGCAGGAAAAAACACTGGGCTAAGCTTGTCTCTTATACCAAGACGACATTCTAGTCCAAGCTTCAATATGCTCCCTATGTTCCCCTCGGGCTTCTTCTCTGCTGCTCCCGTCCTTTTCTTCCCATGTTGCGTATCAGAGGTTTGGTGCAGCCTTCAAAACTTCATTAACTGGAACAAATCTAGTATCCAGAGTTCTTCTCAACAGGCACGCTAGCCCATCAGATAGCCCCTACAGAAACAAAATTTATAAACGCAGGAAGTAAAAAGGAAGAACCATTTCAAAATGCCCCAGCAAATTTTATGATGAATCAAATGGCAATCTGAAAATGTAACTGTGTGATTCCTTTTTATGGTTCTTAGTTCATATTTTGTTACCCCTCCCAATGTTTTACTGGGCCTCAGTTCCATTATTCTTTCCCCTCAAAGGATAAAGTTACAAACCAATATGCTAAACAACACAAAATGAGGGGGGAAAAGTAAATAAGAGAAATTGTTATGTAAAATTTAAAAGTCAGAATCAATTTCCTTTGGCCTCTCACAACTGCAACAAAAATCATAAACCTTTTAATGGAAAGAAGCTGGTTTTGATTTTCTAAAAACCTTAATATTACCAAAGGAGAAGGTGGGAGATCAGGAGCTACTCACACCTGGGAAGTGAGCCCTTGAACCCTCGAGAAACAATGTGCAGAACCGTGGGCCCTGCACCCCTGTTCCTTTAGGAAATGTTTGGACAGCAGGGAGAGGCCTTAGTGGCAGCTGTTGAGCAGGTCAAACTTTATGTGGATCAAATAGGAGATCCTTTTAATAAATGTACAACTTAGGCCTGGAATCCCTTTTAAACTGAGGAATTAAGTTTGGTTTTATAAAGTTCCAAGCTTTTTCCTTTGCAATTAATCCTTGCAACCTATTAGCAAGGATCTGCAACATTGGGGTTTGGGGGCAAGGAAGGGAAACGACACGGGACACACTGCAAAAAGCTATCTACATTAAGAAAGGGTTTAATATACCCTGCCCCCACTGATGCCTTCAGACCTTCTCTCCTTTGGACACTGCCTCTAACACTTCTATAGTAAATGCTACTCATGATAATTAAGCTCTTGACAATGTTAGCTGTTGTTATTAGTTCAGCAGAATCAAGTTTCTTTATTTCTAAGGTAAGGAATCAAAACTCTTCACATGGCTGAGATCTATTACAGTGCCTGGTACACAGCAGACACTCAGAAATGTGATTCCAGCTCTGGACTCACTTGAGCTATAGTGCTTAGATCTATGTGCAGCCAATGCAATCTCCCTAGCACTCATTCTCACTTTTTTTCCTGCTCTATCAGTCTGGCTGATCTAAACTCAGTACAGAGGGAACTTATATCTCACACAACCACCTTTGCGACAACTCTGATACAACCCAATACTTCTCACCCCTACTCCCCCCCCCCCCCC